AAAATCAGTAATGATGATGATATCGAGACGGTATCCAGATTTAGGTATCGGGATCGGATTGGAAGTTAAAAAATGTGGATCCCTACTATCTTCATCTTCCTCCTGTTTCAAGCTTGTGCACCTCGAGCAAAAGTTGCTCTGTGCATGCAGGGGAGTCCCCCCTCCCCGTCTCATCGGTTCGACTGTGACCTGTTTGGTAATTTCATTGGTCAGATATTTTATATTTTTAATCTTTATATCTTTATTCATACAGGTCAGTGCTTCTCTTGCTTTACTTGTCTTGACAGGGCGCTCATCTCTTCTGTGATTTTTGTCGACGGGGGGGTGGAGACAGAGACACATCTGTGTGGCACGCTGTTTGTATCGAATGTTTTCGGGGTGGTGGGTGGAGACGGCTCAGCGTGAGGGAATCGGAATGCTACCTCTAGCTTTTTAACTAGCGCGCAGGTGTTGCGCCCAGATAGCGCTACGTTAGTTCCGGCAGTTGTCGACCGGCCAGGGGGGGGGACCTCGGGGGAACCCTCGGTTATGTTAACAGGACGGGGCGCCCTGATTGTATAATGGTAGGGGAAAAACTGCAGGTAGTCTCATTGAGCCACGAGGATTCACCCCCCAAGAGTGACGTATATTGAGCAGCTCTGTGAGCGCCCAGGTGTGACGAAGCTAAATGATTTTGTCAGCAGGAAGCTCGTTAGCCCGTCAAAAAAAATCCATAAATTAGCCGCAGCATCGTTTAAGCTGCGAGGTTCAAAGCGTGTGGAAAAAGTAGCGGCTTATAGTCCGGATATTACGGTAAACTGTGCACTTTGAAAACAGTTTGTATTTAAAAGTTTAACTGGAAGAATTGAAACTGAGGCTGATGATGTTTTTTAAACGTGACATAGTTTGTTTTTTCTCCAGCTCAGCCGATCACAGATGGTCTTTCAGCAGCTAAAGACTCGGCCCGAGCTCTGTTTGACTTCACAGCCGAAGGCCAGGATGAGCTCACGCTGAAGGTCCGCCACAGGAAGACGCTTTTCTTTGCTTAAAAACTACATCAAACATTATTCCTGAACGGTTTGCATCTCTGCAGGTCGGTGACGTCATCACACAGGTGGAGTCTGTCGACGAGCAGTGGATTCTGGGAGTTGTGGGCGGAAGACGTGGGATTGTCCCTAAGAACTACATTTCATTCCTCTGACCAGGAACCTCCTCCGTCAGCGGATTTAAACAGATCGGTGGTTTTATACGGATTAACGAGGACGCCATGTTTGTTTTTAAGTGAACGTTTTTATTCCCAGGTGGACGTTAAAGAACTTAATTCAGCCTGGTAGGTTTTTATTAATAGATTTGTTACTGACTGGAGAAGCAGGAAGCCCGAGGTGTGGTGGACGTTTTAAACGGACACTTGATGGACTTCCTGGAAACTTCACTTCCTGTCTGCTCACGTCATCTGGACTGGACGAGACTTTTGTCGACCCGTCATTGGACTGAAGCTCCGACAGCACAGCTGTTTCATCTCAGCACTCCTGAAACTGTTTGATGGTTTCTGCACGATGAGTCGGCTGAAGGACGTCCAGGATGGAGACATTTCTGCTGTAGGTGGCTTTCATCCATTTACAGGATTTTATTAACACTGACTCTCATCACAGGTCTGTGATACAAAAGTAGCAACTTTTAAAATGCACATCTAATTACTTTTAAATAAATTTGTTGAACAAAGCACGCAGTGGAGGATTTTTTTTTCCCATGAAGCTTTGCAACGCTGAGTGGCTGCAGAAAGTTTACTAAAGGTGAGTATGAGCTGCAGGTAAGACGCTTCCAGTTGGAAAAACAATGTTGAGTTGTGATGTTTTCTATTTTTTGCCTCGGTGAAGCATTTTATTTTGTGTTTACTTGTTTTATTTTGTGCTTCGTGGTCAGAAAAGTTGCACCAATATATATATATATATATAATATATATTTAAGAACTAACAAAAAGAGATCTGGTATTTTTCCTCTACTTTTAAAAATGTTCTTATACATATAATTTTATGAAAAGGCACCTAACGTTGTCATCACAGTTCAGGAACTGACTCGCAGTTTTAATAGTTCAAATAAAAATATAGATATATTGTTGTATATTAACATAAAACCCACAAATCTTTCCATTTTAGATGCTAAATTCAGTTTAAAGTTAGAATTATTATAAACAAATATAATGATAATTCTAGTTCTGGACTGTTCATTTATTTCAATAACTGTAGAATAAATACTTTAAGCTAATCCCGTATCCATGTTCTTGTACACTCTGGGTTCTTTCAAGTCGAAGTTTATTTATAAAACACATTTAGAAAAAATGATTGCCCAAAGTGATGTACATAAATGGTTAAAGAAATAAAAAAAAGACCCAACACAAGCGAGTACATTTGGTAAATAAAACTACATGCATTATAATCTAAACAACAAAAACTAAAACGCTAATTGCATTTAATGAAAACACTGTTTGTTAAAACGCTCAGTCTAAATTATTCACACAAAAAGCTGCACTCCCCCTGAGAGCCAGCAGGTTGCAGGAACATCTGTATGAATGAAGCCAAAGTGCAGAAAGTTTAATGGTGGATCTTGTCCAAGATGGCCGCTTTAGCTAAAATGGAAAAATTTGATTACTCGGCCATTTTTAGGGCTATTCAGCTCAAATGTGGTATAGCTGCTGCGAGCGAACCCAAACACGTTGGGCAGTCCCTGTCAAAGTCTCTCCAGGAACCTTCGTTTTTCTAATACTATCAGCTGTAGTTGGTTATTTCATGTTTTTTAAAAAACATTCACAAAACACTAAAAACACCATGACTGTCTGAGGGGGGAGCAGGCGGGACTCAACGCCCCACGTTCCCAGTGCACAGACTGGTTCCAAAGATCAAACCAGTAAACGGTCGCGCTGCGTCAGCTCCAGATGGAGATCAAAACACCTGGTCTGTTCATCTTCACAGTATCCGCTACAAAAACACTAAAGTTTGATTTAAAGAACTGAGTTTCTTTACTGAAGAAGAAAAAAGTTGAACAGATTTGATTTAGATGAAATTTAGAAAAGATAAAAACTGACAACTACTCGCTCAATCCTCATTTGTAGCTTTTATGTTGAAATCTAATCCTAATCTGTGATATTTAAATTTATCTTTCATTGATTTTAATTCTTTTTACATGACAGATTACTTTTTTTTTTAAGATGTAAGACTTTTGAGAAGTAACAACAAAGTCCATGCTCATTGTATACCTGGATTATTGAGCATGGACTTTGTTGTTTTCAACCAGTTTCACACGACTCAACAAGGAAGAGGGCCGGCAATGGAGGAGGGGCGTACCGAAGAGACCATCTTAGCACAAGCAGAACTGGTTTGTTCCACTTTGGAGTAAGCTGTTGGGGGAAGAATCAGTTTTGTTGTGTGTTTCCTTGACTGATAAAGCCTTCTGGATTGAAGGCGAAACGTTTCAGCAAAAAAAAGAAACTGTCCAGATGACCGGACTGAAAAATGTTGGACTTTGAGAAGTATTTTGACGGCTCGCAGTTTTCTGCTGGTCATTATTCAACTTTCCTGAGCTCAGCCGAGTCTCCTTCATCAAACAGCCGAAGTCCGGCGTGGAGCGGCCGAGTGAACGTGGTCTGGACTCTGTGGAGGAGAGTCATGGTTCCAGAGACGCTGTAGAAGGACAGAACACCTGCCCTGTGGTCCAGGTACACCCCGACCCTGGAGGAGCCAGGACCAGACGCTGGGGTCTTCACTTTGTTGAAGGAGAACGTGCAGTTGTTGGCGTTACAACACAACGCCCACGATCTGTCATTGAACCCAAACGCACATCTGTCCGACGTCCCGACTCGGCCGATGTCCTTGTAGGAAACGGCAACTTGGACGGCCTCCCCGCTCCACTCCACCTCCCAGTAACAGCGTCCAGTCAGACCCTCCCTGCTCAGAACCTGGTCATAAAACGTGAACCTTTCCAGATGTTCGGAGTACGACTGCTGTTTTTTCATGAGCGTCGCCTTCCTGCTGCCCTCAGACAACAGCAGATGAGCGAAGGCGGTGTTTGAATCTAAAGTGAGTTCCTTTGAATATTTGAGGAGTTCCTTCCTGGTTCTTGGTTCCGAAGATAAAACATCTAGTAAGATGTTTGTCCACGTGTCCCTCAGGACGTCCTGGAGTTTGTCTCTGAGCTCCTCCACAGCTGCTGTGACGTCCTCAAAGTATCTCCGAGGATGAACCTCGATGCTGGATGAGTGTGGAGACTCACCCAGTGCTGACACTGACTGGTAGTTGTGGAGAAACTGGTTGTGGTCCTCTGTGTGTGAGAGCTGCTCCAGCTCGGCGTCTTTCCTCTTCAGCTCAGTGATCTCCTGCTCCAGCTTCTCCTGAAGCTCCAAGACTCGACTCACTTCAGTTTCCTGCTGGGATCTGATCTGCTGCTTCACATCAGAGCTTCTCTTCTGGACGAGACGGATCAGCTGAGTGAAGATCTCCTCACTGTCCTCCACTGTTTGATCAGCAGAGACATTGATGGCCTCCACCTCCTCCTGGAGCAGCTTCACATCTTTCTCTTGGTCCTGGATTCTCTGCTGGATTTGTTGTCGACTCGCCTCGAGCTCCTTCTGCTTCTCAGCTCTTTCTGCTGCAGCCAAGGCTGCTTTGGCTTCATTCACTAAGACCTTCATCATCTCATCATGACGAGGGCAGATGTTCTCCTGGAGCTTCTTGGAGGGTTCCACCAGCTGGTGTTTCTTAAACTGATGAACAGTGTAGTGAGGTTGGAGATGTTTCTCACAGAAAGAGACCAAACAGACCAGACAGGACTTGGCAGCTTTCAGTTTCCTCTCAGAGCAGACGTCACAGGACACGTCTTCAAGTCCAGCATAGCGGTGATCAGCTGGAGCAACCTGGAGTCCAGTCTTCTTCAGCTCCTCCACCAGCTCTGCTAACGTGATGTTCCTCACCAGGACAGGCCTCGGTATGAAGTCCTTCCTGCACTGAGGGCAGCTGCAGACTCTCCTCTGATCCTCTCCATCCCAGAAGGTTTGGATACATCTCAGACAGTAGCTGTGTCCACAGGGAATGGTCGCCGGATCCTTCAGGAGATCCAAACAGATGGAACAGGAGAACTTTACAGAATCCATCAGGTTCCTCTGCTGCGTTGTTTCACCTCTCAGCTACACCGACCGTCTGTACTTTTGTTTCTTTCAAAGCAAACGCATGAGTCAGAAGCTGAACTGGTTTAACTTCCTGATCTTCAGCAGCTGGGCGTGTCAGCGCTCACAGAGATTAGACCGGTCCCTCAGCTGGTAGGATCTGTGAACCAGGAAGTACACACGGCCCGAGCTAAACCCTGGTGGAGACGAGGGAGGAGTTCTGTCAGAGTTTCTTTTTCCTGGAAACGGTTTCCACCTCACCTGGAGTCTCCATGTTCAGACCTGCTTCAGTTGGTTCTTACAGGTAAATTGATTTTACAGCCAGAAACATGGTTCAGTTGAACTCCTGCTCACAAATCTAACGGTTCTAAATAAAAGCAGCAACATCTTCATGTTTCACTTCATCCACTGTTTAACTCGTCTGTGGAACCAGTTCAACTCTTCTTTGTTTGGTTTGTGTCCATGTGGCTCTTTCCTCCAACAGAAGTCATATTTTATATTTCAGAACTTCTCTGCTCTGAATCCATCCGTTGTCTTTTCCATCATCTGGTGTTTGATTAGAGGAACTGCAGATAAAAACAGAGCAGGCTTCCTGCCACAATGAGCTGAACTCAACACCCAGAGGTGACAGGAAGTAAAAAGAAGTCACTTCATTAAAGTCCTGAAAGAGAAAAATGACATTTAAATTATGACTTTTGGACTGAACCATGTGCAGCTCTGAGGGATTGATTGATTTAAATCATTATCATCAGGACAGATGAGTTCATGAGCTCATGCAGATGTTGAAAGTGATAGCTCAAACATAGCCTTTAATAATTTAAGAGTCTATTGGTTTTACCCAAAACGTCCACACATCTACTCATTCTCATCATCACACTCTTGATCTGGTTCTGACTTATGGCATAGAGATTAAGTACTTATTAATACATCCTCATAATCCTGTTCTGTCTGATCATTTTTAGTAACGTTTGAGTTTACATTAACTGACAGTCACTGAGAGTAAATTTCATCTTAGCATAGAACGCTGTAACTACATTTAAAGAGTCTCTTCCGTTGATATTTTCCTCTTGTCTTGCAGAGTAATGCAGTAGAGAACAATGAATTACATCATCTGGTTGAAAAATGTACAACTTCAATGCAAACGTCTCTTGGTAAAACTGCTCCGCTGAAAAAGGAAAATCAATCAGAGGAAACTGGCTCCTTGGTTCAGTTCGGAGTTATGTACTTTAGAAAGCTGGAAAGAAAATGGCGCTTTACTAACATAGATTTATTTTATTTAACTTGTTGAGCGATAGCCTGCTAACTTATAAAAAAGCGCTCCGTAAAGCTAGAACATTATATTACTCATCTTTAATAGATGAGAATAAAAATAACCTCATGTTCCACCATAGCTAGTCTGATGAAAAATCATAACTCTATTGAGCCCTGCATTCCTACAGCTATAAGCAGTGATGACTTCATGAGATTCTTTATAAATAAAATTATCTTAATTAGGGAGAAAATTCAAACCATCCATCCTACTATCGCCTCTGGCTTCCTGTCAGATGAGGCAACTTTAGAAATGTCACTAGAACCTGATTTATGTTTTGTCTGTTTTTGTCCTGTTGAGCTCACGGAATTGTCAAAAACAATAGCTTCATTCAAACCATCCACATGCCTGCTAGATCCCATCCCAACCAGACTGTTTAAAGAGATATTTCCCCTTATTAATGTCCACATTTTGGATCTACTTAATTTGTCTTTAATGCATGGCTATGTACCACAGCATTTTAAGTTTGCTGTAATTAAACCTTTACTTAAGAAACCTAATATTGATTCAGGAATTCTGGCCAATTATAGACCTATATCTAATCTAACTTTCATCTAGAAAATTCTAGAGAAAATAGTTGCAAATCAATTGTGTGAACATCTGAACAGAAATAATCTGTTTGAAGATTTTCAATCAGGGTTTAGAGCTCATCATAGCACAGAAACAGCACTAGTAAAAGTCATTAATAATATTCTCATGGCCTCAGACAATGGACTTGTGTCTATACTGGTCCTGATAGACCTCAGTGCTGCATTTGATACGGTTGATCACAATATTTTACTACAGAGGCTTGAATATGATATTGGGATTACAGGAACGGCTTAAAACAATTTAAATCACATCTATCTGATAGATTCCAGTCTGTAAATAACAAACCTTCATCATACACCAGTTAGTCATGCAGTTCTTGGACCAATACTCTTTACTTTATATACTGTATGCTTCAATTAGGTAAAATTTTTAAACAGCAGGGGATAAATTTCATTGTTATGCTGATGATGCACAGTTTTATTTGTCCATGAAACCCGATGAATCCAATGAGTTATTTAAACTACAAGTATGTCTTAAAGACATAAAACCCTTGATGACCCTTAATTTTCTGCTTTTAAACTCAGACAAGACTAAGCTTGTGGTTTTTGGACCTTTTAGGAATAAACTTTGCAGCCTTTCACTTCCTCTGGATGGCATTAATTTGCCCTCCAGAGCTAATGTTAAAAACGTTGCTGTTATTTTTGATCAAGATATGTCTTTTAACCCTCACATTAAAAAAAGTTACCAGGACCACTTTCCTATGCCTGCGTAATATCACTAAAACTAGAAACATCTTGTCCAAAAATGAGGCAGAAAAACTGGTTCATGCATTTTTCATGTGTAGACTGAACTACTGTAATGGTTTATCTGGATGTCCAAAAACTTCTTTAAAGAGTCTTCAGTTGATCCAAAATGCTACAGTTTCCAGCATCACTCTCATAATGCAGGTTTATTTGTGGTTCCTAGAGTTTCCAAAAGCAGAATGGGAGGAAGATCTTCCAGTTCTCAGGCTCCTCTCTTGTGGAACCAACTTCCAGTTTCTGTCCGTGAGGCTGACACATTGTCCAGTTTTAAGACTGGGATTAAGACTTTCCTTTATGATAAATCCTATAGTTAGGGTTGGCTTGGGTGTCCTGAGGTATCCCTTAGTTCTGCTTTTATATTCTTAGGCTGTCGGAGGACAAATTGACCACATTTCCTCTCTCTGCTGCTGTCTTTACTTGCTTTACTCTGTTTGTATTTGAATTATTTAAATCATAACATGTTTTTTGTCTTTCCTCCTATAGAAAGTTCACCTGGACCGGTCAATCTGTATTTGTCTGTTTCTACTTCCTGTCCTCTCAAACCCAGCCGGTCGAAGCAGATGGTCACTTGTCCTGAGCCTGGTTCTGCTGGAGGTTTCCAACTATTAAAATTGAGTTTTTCCTTTCCACTGTCTCCTTTGTGCTTGCTCAGGATGGGAGACTGTGACGTAGTGAAGATTCAACACAATCTGCTGCTTCCTCAGATAGATGAAGAGGACAGAGGTGTTGCTGGAGCTTCTTTGGGGGCTCCACCAGCTGGTGTTTTTGAAATAATGAAGCTTCATGGTGAGGTTGGAGATGTTTCTCACCGTAAGAAGCCAAACAGACCAGACAGGACTTGACAGCGTTCAGTTTCCTCTCAGAGCAGACGTCACAAGACACATCTTCAGGTCCAGTCCTGGAGTCCAGTCTTCTTCAGCTCCTCCACCATATCTGCTAACATGATGGGGTTTTTTTTAAAGACAGGTCTTGATGGGAACCTCTGTCAACACTGAGGGCAGCTGTGAACCTTCTTCTGACTCTCCGTATCCCAGCATGTTTGAATACATCTCAGACAGTAACTGTCCACAGGGAGTGGTGACCGGATCCTTCAGGAGATCCAAACAGATCGAACAGGAAACTCTCATGGAACTCAGCGGACTACCTTCCTGCTCCATTTGAAGCTCTCAGCCACAGCAGGTATCCTCAGAGTTTCCTCCTTGGAGTAAAATCCAAGTTACTCTCGTCAGGTTTTTGTCCCTGCAGGACAGAGTGATCCTTCAGATGTTGCAAACATCTGGAAACACTGACAGAAACAGACTGAGATGGACAGAAAGGGGATTTTAGAGTTTCCTTCAAACTGCAGAAAACCTTTGACCTTTAACATTCCTGACTCAAATCTGCTCGTTAATAATCAGTTTGAACTTTGACACCGTGTTTGTTTTCCCTCCTTTAAAAGCAAAAGTGCTTATTTTTTAAGAATTAAAAATATTCTTAAGAGCACAAGGTTAGCTTGCTGCCACTGCATTGGATTAGTTTTTATGTCTGAAGACAATGTTTGAGTCCTCTCACATTGTTGGTAGCACTCAATTATGTCAAACCACAATAAGTAAAACATTTACAACTATAAAGTTCCTGCAGAAACTTTGACAGGGACTTCAATGTTGCAGCATTTAAAGTTTTTTGTTTTGACAGTAGGCTACTGTTTTCTGGGATTCGCGCTCGATCAGCTACCACCACACCAGATTTCAGCTCAGTTTCTTTTAAAACAGCTGCGTCATCGTATTTTTTTCCCTTTTAGCAAAGGCTAATTTAATTTGTATCAAGAACGTATAACAAGTCGCTCTCAGCTACAACTACACTAGATCTCAGCTAAATATAAGAAAGAATGACGGAGTTATAGTCAAGTTTGTGTTTTCTGAGGTAGCTGTGGCAGCCATCTTGAACCAAAATGGCTCCAAAAGTTAGAGTTTTGTTCAAGGACCGCTCCACTCCAGGTCATGTGACCTCCCTGTGGCAGTTCGAGGCTGTCCAGAGCTCTATCAGGCTTTTTCAATGAGAAAAATGGCGTCTTTGTAAATTACGTCGCCATGGTAACTCGAAACACCAATAAAACGGCGCACGTCACGGTGCCGAGCCGGTTGTTTTGATGTAACATTTGTCGGGGGACACATTGCGGTTTTGGCCACATTAAAGTTGAAAGAAAAGCAAGAGCCTTTTCAGGTGGATAATAATTGATGGCTGCCTCTATAGGATATCACCCGCCACCATCCAAGCCAGAGCTTTAAATGAGCACCATCTAACTGTATGGTTAGAAATGACAGACGTGGTCGTGTTGGTCAAACCTTGAAAATAACGTCACGCTCAGATTATGTGTC